ATTTTTAAATATTAATCCTCCAAAAACTGCAAACATGCAATGGGGGGTCCCATAAAAAATCGTTAATATCAAAAAATGGGTTAATAAACAATTAAGTATTATTCCTTGAAGTATCCTGAAGAGGTACCGACTTTTCCGATCTAAAAATATTGATTTTCAACTGTACCATTTCTACGAAAAACTTTTTTTCCCATAAAATATGCATGGAAAACTTTGAGTGCTTTGAGCCACCTGCAAATTTTTTTTTATTTTAAATTAAAAAAAAAAACAAGGGTATGTTCTTTCCGACATAAAACAATCCTAGAAGGTGAGATCATTAAAATTCCCACGCCTTTTTATCGCATGACTTTTCGTACCACCCTAATGTGCATAGTATAGCAATTCAAAGTGCTTGCAATTGGCGACTAAAGACGCCAAATAGACTTTTGTAATAAAGAAGCATTTTCGCAGCTACAGTTTGAATACCACTGTTTAGCAAACAAATTAATAAAGTACTTACGCTAATCTCCTCAAGGCGGCGCTCTAGTGCCTCAATAGATTTCTTATCGTATGGCTTCTCAATTAGATCGTTTATGCGTTTGAGACCTTTCGTGACGAGTTCTTCTAGATCGATGTTAAGCTTTTCAAGTGTAGAACGTGGACTGGGCGTATTGTTGTCATCGGTGTGTTGCGGCAAGCCAGGTACTTTGGATCTGAAGACAGAAATTTAATTAAATGACATTTCTAAAAACACAAAGATTGAATTATTGAGTTTACAAGTGACTTTAGTTATCTGAAATGTTTCCGAAAAATTTAAAAATCTTATTTTCCTGCTATTTTTATTTGGCTATAGTTGGCTCTAATTTGCTTCTGTACAGATGGACGAACGCTCGCCGAAAACTTGGATTGCAGGGTAGAGGATTCTTCTGCTCTAATCTACCATTGTCCGATGGGAATTCATGTGGGATGGCTCACTATCACCACGAAGCCCTTCTGCAGCTACTGTAGGAAGGATGACGGGGTGGTACTCAACCGGCTCAGGTTCGCGAGCTTTAGATCTCAACAACTTGGACCTCACTGCTTTCTCGATTCCAAGGACTTTTCGAGGATTGAGACTAACTCTACTTGCCCCGTTCAACCACTCTCTCTTTTTTTTGACTCTGTTTCTTCTCACTTTCTTAATGGTAACATAAAGGACGATTAGAAACCTGATTTTTGAAATTTTTCCAAAAATTTACGAAAAGAATCGGCTAACTCAAGGTTCTAATACTATTTTCAAGGCAATAGTATAACAACTTAATCCTTTTTATTATGAAAATTTAATCAGCTTGCTCAATCAGTAATTGTCTTGGATATTTCTAAGGCCAATCTGGGACCAACCAATTCTATACTTACTTGGATTGCTGCACCTCACGGAATTTCTCTCGTAATATAATCTGTGTTTTCATAACCAAACGTGAGAGATTTCCCTGTTTGCCGTGAGTCTCTAGCACCAAAGAATCACCTTGAGAAATCAAGGTGGCGGCATCGGGCGCAATCAAAAGTTTCAAGTCCTCAATGGCGCTGCGGAGTGGAGTAATTGAAAATATATTATATTTTAGAAAAAGCCTGAGATCGCTTACCTTTCGCCTTCTTCG